TGACGTGGCATATGGGCATGAAGTAGTTGACTGGTCAGGATCGTGCGTGCCCTGTTCGTGGATGGGGCCTCGGGATGGTCCACACCAATAGTTGGAGACCGTATCAGTCACGCAGTTAGTGGCGTTTCTGCATCCGGTTTCTTGCACCTGGTTGCTAATTTTTGTTCGATACTGCTTAGTTCGACACACTTTCTCTGCTCCATTTTCGTTGCATTCTATTTGTCTTTAACCCAACTATCTTGCCGTTGTTATTTATTGTTGTTGTTCTGGCGATATGAATCGTAAAAACTGGTTCTGCCGTACTTCGGTGCTCGGGTCATAGCTGATCAGGTCAAGAAAGGCAAAAAAGCATCAGCAGTACGCTGGTACGTAGTACCGATGCTTCGCTGCCGCGCAACCACCACCGGTCGCACGTGTGCTAAAGCTACTGAGAAAACCGCCCTGCCCCTTACGCAGGCTCGAACCCGCGCGGTCAGAGTACAGGACAAACTCCTTACGTCGTTGCCTTTAAGCTGCTTAACTCTGTCGTTCTTCATAGATTTGCTGGCAACCGCGAAAGCCAGATTCGTGAGAAGCAAGCCACGTTTCGTTCAAGTCGCAGCTGTTTTGGTCACCTCTTCGCAGGACGTCAATTGATGGTGCACCCTCACACTTATCGGGTTGACTTTTCTACCCAAATTCAACAGCTTTAGTTTTTTACTGGCGTTAATGTACACCCGTGTTAATTAAATGTACAGCAATAAACGTTTCCACGACACTGCGTTTCATTTTCCTTTTATTGTAGCCTAGTTCTTTGGTTAAAAATATATCAAAGTGTCCTCCGTGCAAGGCTTCACTGAAAAGAGCTCCGCTTGCCATACAGTTTGAGAAACACTGACCTGAATCAATGTGGGTTCCCACAGATCCGCGCCCGCGGAATGATCTAGAACGATTTGTGTTCAACCCCCCTCACCTTTCCACACACACAAGCAAGCCTTCATCTACCCATAAGAACATGTGTCTATTCATCGCACAGGAGTTTGAGTGACCGTCAAACTCTCCACTAACCACCACTTCTCAGAGCACTAGTTCATTGGCACCTTGGATTATGGCGAGTTTAACGTTTACGTTCAAGCGTTTTTCTGGTTCTATTTGATATCGGTCTGATGGTGTATGTAATTAATGTTAGGTAAATGGAACCGTAGACTTTAGGTCCAGTCTGTGCTTTGAACAATTTAGGATCGGTCATTACGAGTAATACAACATCATGGCCCAAAGAAAAGACCTCAGAGAGTTGACTTTGAATGAAAAGATTAGTCTGCTACATTTTCTGGAAAGCAGTAACTAAAGACAGACGGCAGAGCATTTTGATGTTAGCAGGACAACAGTTAGCAACATCTAAGGACATAAACACGAGTACTTGGAGAGACGGTAACGAAAGAGGAGATCTGCAACGGAAGGGGCGAAAAACTTCACACGATGAAGTCAGTGAGGCCACGCTGCGCTGGTTCAGGCAAATGAGGGCAGCTAACGCTCGAATTTCTGGGCCGATGATTCAAGAAATTGCCAAAAGGTTCTCATCAGAATTTAGAGTTGCAGATTTCCAGGCGTCCAATCGTTGGCTAGAGAAATTTAAACTCTGACATGAAATTTTCCAAAGAGTTTTGTGTGGTGAATCCATTAAAGTACTTGAAGAGTTTGTTCAAGACTTCATCGAACAATTTCCCAACTTCAGCAAGGGCTTCAACAATGACGACATTGTTAACACTGACGAGTGCAGTCTCTTTTTCAAGGCGACACCTAACAGAAGCCTTGGAATAAAGGGTAACATGTAAAAGTGGAAAACATTCCAAAGGACGTTTCACGGTTCTGTTGTGCGCTAGCTCAAGAGGGGAGAAGCTAAAGCCCCTGGTCACTAGCAAATCAGGTAGACTATGTGCGTTCAAAAACCTAAATCCTGAACAGCTTCCAGTCCCTTGGAGATCAGACTGATCTGCGTGCATGATTGCTGCCATATTTGAGGAGTGGATGAGAACTATCGACAAGGAAATGATGAAGAAAAAACACTCAATTATCCTAACACGACAACTGTCCTAGTCACACCCATGTGAGATTTTTTTCACAAATCTTACATTTTTCTGTCTCCAAACATGACCTCAAAAATTCAATATTTGGACAAACGGATCATCAAAATTTTAAAAATGCACTATAGAGCCCAACTCATACAATGAGCTTGGCAAAATTGCACAAATGTTTCTCATGCGTAAGAAACTCTATATGTTGCTTCAGCTACTGCCTTGGGTGCTGTGCTTTGGATAATTTCCGTTCGATTCAAAGTTCAATCTGAAATAATACAGAAGTGTTCCAGAAGACTGGGATTTGTTCAGTCTCTCAAGCAGGATGCCGTCGACTTATTAGACATACCATCTCCATTTGCAGAGTTCGACGGAATTGATTTTAAAACGTTTGTTGAAACGAATGATGATTTGGTAACTTGCATTGAACCAGATCCAGATGCTATTTTCTAAGCGATATTGACTGCGGTACTTCCATGCGCAAACAAACAAAAAGCGCTAGATGATGAGAAAGAAAGAAATGATAATGACATGGGAACCAAAGAAACCCCAAAAGTGACTGATATCGGGCATCTTTTCATGCAGCTAAAATCATTCGCAAGGCAGCGGAGCGAATTCAGGGAATCGCGCCCATTGGGAGCCGGCGACTGATTACTCAGTTCATACGCCTTTCGTTTGTTCCTTTGTCAAACAGGGGCCCAATGCTCCCCAGAATTACAGCATAACGTTGCTGGAATACAATACTTCGCCAGGATGAAACAAGAGGCAGTGACTTTATTTAATGGCGAGTCACGTCCGCCATCTCACAGTGTTGTTAAACGGACATTTTATAGGGAGAACGCTTGCCAGGTGAAAACCCACCACATCCTGGACCACTGCCGCCGAACCATTTGCTGGAACGGGAAAATCCCGAACCACCCAGGTGGCACCACGAGGAGGTTGTTCGGCAAGCCAGCCTTTGTGATAAGAGAAAAAAAGCTTGACATTTTCTTCTAAATACTGATTTAACTTGCGAAATATGCATTACCTTTTGATTTACTATAACTATGGTTGAACTGCGTTTGCCGTTACGTGAGATCTCGTCTACTGTGTTCGAAACGGGTTTATATCAAAACAAATTTCATACTATACCACTCATAACGGGAAAGTAGGTTACGCAGTGTTATGGCATAGAACCTCCGTAATTTTACCGTCTCTCTATGCTGACCGCTTTGAGTGGCTAACTTACGGAGGATTTGCTGAATCTTTAAGCGGACGCTGCCAAAGATAAAGAGAGAAGGAACCCACAAATGCCAAATCAGTTGTCTCCAGCAGAGGCGCTGTTGGGTGGAAAACTTCATACTCTTAATTCATTGCAACTTCCGAAACGCATCACCGCACAAAAAGGAACGCGATAATGGAAAATTGCTTCAATCAGCAACACAGGACACAAGCACATCCACTTCACGTAGGACAATGTTTTGGTCTGAGACAATCGCATGAGGGGACCGCAGGTTCAATTGAGTGCAGACTTGGACCAGTGCTGTATGAAGTTCTAGTGGGTGCCATGATTTGGACCAGACACGCAAACCAGTTGCGGCCAACCAGCATTCAGACAAGTACCAGTGAACGATCGCGGCCACTAGATATTCTGCTGCACAATCTCAACACACACCCTGGAACTCAATTGGAACCTTATAAGTCTTGCAGAAACGAACTTGTAGCCATGACGATAGACTGATGAGGTCAGAATGCGCTGTATCCCGAGATGACTTCGTACGTCTTTTCGCGGGGGAATGTTAAGGGAGACCGTCCATAGCAGTCCTCGGTGCCAACTCTCCAAAGCAGTCCACCCAAAGTTGGTTGGCTAATCAATAAGACTAAGCCAATGGAATCATTTTACCTTAAACTGGACCAATGAGAACGACTTACCTTGAAGCCTTCTAGCAAGCGTACTACTTAAACAGCCCACAAGCGAGTTTTTTCGGATCTAGTAGTTGCTAGAATTCAGGGTCTTTCCCATAGGCCATTCTCTCGTGAACCATCTATCTTGACTCCATATTTTCACTGTACATGCTGTCTGCGTGGTGCTACATACAAGTTTGGCGAGAGGCCTTTTGTGTTCTGATTTGGGAAATGGCTTGACCGTGACCCGCGTGGCTGTATCAGTTATCCGTATTGTCAGCGGAGACGCAACAGTGTGGGTGAAAGTAGAGAAAGGGAGGCAAAGTGATGAGGAATGAAGTCCCTCACTTCGAAGTTGGCGTCGGTTGGTCTCCCGACTGCCGGAGGTCCGACGAATGATGAACACGTCTGGTTGGACACATTTATTAAGATGGCGAGGGGCCGACCTCAGTGGCATGTTTCTTGTGAGGTTCTTTGTCCCCCCCCCCCATTCCGCTTATCTTTCCCCTCCAACTACGATCTCGGTATTGAAGGATTATATGTTACTAATTAGTATGTTGTTTTTTTGTTTTCTGCTATGGTTAGCATCTCGCCTTTTCATATATTATCTTTTGTATTGCGACAATAGTTGAGCTGTGTTTCTTACCTTCATTTAATGTGTAATGATGATAAGGATTGTGATCCAGACTCCACGCTTCTCCCCGGTTGACCGGACAATTGGCAGGGGACCGTACTTTCACGATCGTCCGTTCTTCGCCAGCGTGGGCCTGAATGTTTACCCAATTAATGGATCCTACTTTCGATTCCATCTTTTATCATTCCCTACACGTAGGATCATCGCTTTTTATGGCTTTATGTTGACAACGTTGCGGTACAAATGCTACTGGTTGTTTTTTTCTACGGTGATGCTAGTAATGTTCTGCGTTAAAAAACAGCGCGCTGGGCTGCGTACTCACAGTCTTTCGTTTTTATTTCTTCACTGTGTCGCTAATGATGGTGAATGGAAATCGGCAGCCGAGCTATGTTCGCTTTTAGTTTCATAGTGCTACTTTTATTCCACCCATGGTAACTTTACTCTTACGTCATAGCATTTTCGCCCTAGTAATAACTCATCGTTTTCTCACTTGCAGTTGTCTGCAATCAAGAAAGATTCCTTGGACACAGCCAGTTATAATACACCTGCCCGGAGGCGAGCGGCTTTGAAGAGACCACGATCCAAGTCGACAAAGTCAAGCGCTCCTTTGCATGGTGTCTGTACAACATTCAAACAGCGCTTCAACTTCGGTGTTCCCGTTACTTTACCACCGCCAAAGTCAGCGATTCCTAAACCCCCCATAAAGAGTGAAGCTCCTGTCTGTCTTTATGTCTGCCCATTGTGTGGTGATAACGCACTCGAAAGCCTTCGCTCTCGCGATGAGCATCTGCAATCCTCGCACAACGGCGAGCTCGTGTTTCCTTGTCAAGTCAGTCTCTTCAAATTGGCTACTAAAACTTTCTGTAAACCGAATGTGTTTGTCTGGCTGTCCATTTCTATGTAATGCACCATTTTGATCATCCGCAACGAGTACGGTCGACCAGTAATTTTTGCACTGGTGCTGCTGCACTACCGTTCAGTCTTGAAGTGTTGTGTTTTGTTTTATAAACTATACATGCTCAAACCATGGCCCAATACGCACGGGTAATCGGTGTCCCCTCTCGAACAATGTCTACTGTTATTTTCTATAGTAGCTACTTTTTGCCACTTCTGAGTTTTGAGGGCAGTTTTGCTTTCATAAGAACCGGATGGGTGCATTTTCAGCAGTTGACACTATCAACTGCGGATGTACTAAAGTAATGTCAAAAATGAAAAAAATTGTGCAACTAGAAAGGAGCACAGAGGCTATTCATGTAAACGATTGCTCATCGTCTCGGCCGGTGGTATGCGCGTCTGTTTTGCAAACATCTTCGGTTCGGATCCGCGTAGGGTCGGGCCTCCTCGCGGTATGCTCAGACCACGCGCGACTGGTGGTGGTCGCGTGGCAGCGAAGCACCGTTACGGCGTACAGCTGGCGATTTATTATTTTTATTGCAAGAAGATAGAACGTTACATCTGGAGCAGTGGAAGAAACGGTTGGAGCTTCTGATAAATTATCGTACACTGAGAAAAGAGGGTCATTTACAATCGTAAACGAAAACTAATGCATGTTTCGAACTGCCTATTATGACGAAAATCTACTGGACAACCCAGCTGCATCAGAGAATAAACTTGATCGATCCTACAAGCCTGGCTACGGGAAACAAGTAGACAACGATGTAGTCAGTGAGTTGTTCAAGCATATGATTTCATCAGAAGATCTGCCATATACCAACAACCTGTTTGTAGTCACTTTCTCTTTTTTGGACGTTGATCTTCGAATATGCAGCCGCTAATGTGTCAGCTGTACGTCGTAACGGCGCTTCGCTGCCGCGCAACCATCACCAGTCGCGCGCGGGCTGAGCATACCGCGAGGCCGCCCACCCCTACGCGGATTCAAACCGGTGACCTTATGGTTGCAGACCAGGCGCGCAGACCACTCGGCCACCGGCGGACAGCCGTTAATGTAGGCTCTTGGTATTCGTTTTCATTGGGGACTACAGCCATGAGGGTGCTTTCTGGCCACTTAGCTGTGCGATGTACTTTATCTGTCTGAAGCTATTTCCTCTCAACCACCTTGGAACGTTCTCGGCTGTAAGGTGAATAATAACACTTTCCACTGTCACATCGTTTTAGATTTGTGGTTTGGCCTTCCCACTTTATATTGCGCTACGACGGCACGCAGCGTTGAAACACAATGCGGACTACGATTTGGTTCGTTATGGCCCACCTGAACTTCTCGATTCCGAATCAATTGAATGTCCTGAATGCAGACTCGTCGGATTCACAGACCAAGCAGTGCTGAAGCTTCACCTCGTCGGAGTGCACCATATGGACAAGGAAAAAGCTAGCTCTCGTGTTCAACCCGGTGGCCACAAGCCACACAACAGCACTCCTGGTAAGGAGCATTTTTGTTGACCCAGGATCAATTTTACTACTTCGCCTCAAACGTCCAAGACAACACACTAATAGGCATAAGTCACCCGATGTGAACTTTGTATTTCATCATGGAATACCAGTGAAACTATCCACTCTCAGTCAGGTGTTCATTCACATTACTAAACACATCCCCATCCTCTGTTTACCTCTACTCGCCGTGTGCTTTTATTTTATTTCGCCGGCCCATAACCTAGATGTAAAAAGCTTGTCTCGTAATCTTGCGGCCCGGGTTCGAGCCTGCGTAAGGGACAGGACGTCCCTCGCAGTATCCTTAGTCCACGTGCAAACGGTTGTGGTTGCGCGGCAGCGAAGCATCGGTACTGCGTTCTGGCGTACGGTAGATGCTGATACCTGCTGAGGCTGACGTTGCATTCATGATGCTACTTCACCGCAGTTGGGCTAAACCAACTTACACTTAAACTAAGTCTCTTTTTAAGCTGGATAAATTTCATTCCACTTCATTTGATTTGTTCTGCCTACCGGACTAAATTTTACTAAATTATTATTATTACTGTTATTATTATTATTATTAAATTTCCACGTTGCTTACGGTAATTGTGCTTATCTTCATTAACTTTATTACGTTTGTAGTATTTTCTGAGTCACTTCTGGACATTTTTTACTTATCGCGGAATCGTTGCTAACCAACTTACTTCATATGGTAATTTAGCGAAGAGTTATGCTGCCGTAACTGTATGCATTATCGGATTTATTTTATTTCAGTTTATCGTTTAAAGTGAATGGCAGTTGCTT